AATCAAAAGTTATTCTCAAAGGGTACTTCTGAGAAGACCATCTGGACTTCATTAGAAACTGAAGAACTAAGTTTCGAAATGGACAGACAGGCAGCTCCGGAGTCTGAGAAGCAAGAACCATGACAACACCAAGAGCAGTCTGGTCATAGTCTTACACATGGATGGAATGGAAACCCACATGTCTTCATTGTTTTCTGCTAACTATTCTGCTAAAGATCACTGTCTTTTCCCCTCTGCTAAATGTTTAAATCCTAAAGAAATTTTTAGCTTGTGTTATTCACCCATCTGTTTAGCTAAGGGGAAGAGCAGGGAGCCAGTGTTCTCATTACAGTTCCAACAGACTGTATCTAGCTGAAATGAGAAATTTCTCAATAGGCTATGTCTAGCTGAAAAGGATTACAGATAGCAAATGGACTCCAGACAATCAAAGGACAAAAATACCTCTGCATGAGCGAACGGAAGCTAGAGTAAAGCTGGGCATATGGCAAAACAAGGTAAGTCTTTCTTTTTGTTTTGCTGAAAGGGTGGGTTATGGGTTATCTCTTCTTATAAGCATTAAAGAAAAACAGGCTACAAAAACAGGCTTTAAGGGCTTTAGGGCTAAGTGAAAAAGGTAGAATTATCTGAGTCATGAATTTATCCCAAGAAAAAATGAGGATTCAATATTAAAGCCTAGAGAGTAATTTAAAATAAATGTAACACAGGATGACTGCTATCGCTATTGCTCTAGAAATTTCTGGCTAATAAAGTACATCAAGAAATATAAATAAGAATCATAATTATTAGAAAGGAGATTAAGCTAAAGTTGCTTGAGGATAATATGACTAAGTCTTGTGAAAACCCAAACAAGTCAACTGAAAAAACTAAAATAAATTTTTACTGTATGCCAACGCTAATGGTTACATAGAAAATATCATAGCTTAAAAAAGATTTATTCACAGTAGACAAAACACTCCCCCCAAAGGTGCAAAATACCTAGCAATAATTTTAAGAAGAATGTGTGGGAACAAATGAAGAACACCACAGAAACTTGCTATAAGGTACAGAAAAATGTCAAAATGCTATTATTCCATCTTTAACCCTTTGAGTGCCAACCAATATCCTAGGAACTATGCTAAAATTGCCAAGGCATTTTACAGCAGTTTAGGAAAAAAATTATGAATCGCAAGTAAATGAAGTTACATATTCAAAAACTTAAGGAAACCTTTACTACATTGACATATTTAGCAATATCATCATCACTAATAAAAGCAGACTTAGAACTGGACGCCATTTCGAAGCTTTGATAGCGCTCCCGGCAATTTTGGCGAAAGACAGGAGGAGCGCGATCGTGCTCCCCGGCACTCTAGGGGCTAAAATTCAGCAACCTTTGTCATCTTAGAAAGGGGTTGGGCTCAATAGCACCCTCACGTGGACATTCTGAGTACAGCACCCTAGTAGGCGATTAGTCTCAATAGAGCCTAACTGTGAACATTATGAGAACAGCATCCTAATAAAGGATTAGTCTCAATATCGCCCTCTACTGTACATTAGGAGAACAGCACCCTTGAAAGGGATTAGTCTCAATAGCGCCATCAAGTGGGCATTCTTGGAACAGCTTCATAGTAGGAAATTATTCTCAACAGTACCCTCTTGTGGGCATTCTGAGAACAACACACTACTAGGGGATTAGTTTCAATAGCGCCCTCTTGTGGAGATTCTGAAAATAGCACCCTAGAAATGGATTAGTCTCAAAAGCGCCATCTAATGGACATTCTGAGCTGTGAGACAAGGATTTTTTCAGACTTGCAGATTTCTTACTAGGGTGTGGTTCTCCAAATGACTGCAAGAGGATGCTATTGATTTTAATCCCTTACTAGGATTCTGTTCTGATAATGCCCACATGAGGGTGCTATTGAGCCTAATCCCAAACTAGGATGCTGTTCTCACAATGCCAACCAGAAGGCGTTATTGAGACAATTCCCTTATTAGGGTGCTGTTCCCAGAATGTCCATTAGATGGCACTATTGTGACTAATCCCCTACTAGGGTGCTGTTCTCACAGTGTCCTTTAGAGGGTGCCATTGAGACTAATACCCCACTAAGGTGCTGTTCTCAGAATGCCCACAAGAGGGCACTATTTAGCTGAATCCCTTAAAACAATGCTGTTCTCTAGAATGCTCACAGGAAGTTGTCATTGAGCCCAAGCTTTTAGTAGGGTGCTGTTTGGACAATGCCCACAAGGGTGTGCTATTGAGACTAATTCCCTACTAGGGTGCAATTCTCTAGACTACATATAAGAGGGAGCGCTATTGAACCTAATCCTTTACAAGGGTACTTTTACCTAAGTGCCCACAAGAGGGCGCTATAGAGTCTGATATCATGCTAGGGTGCTGTTTCTTAGAATTACCACCAGATGGCGCTACTGAGTTTAAACCCTTACTAGGGTGCTGTTAGTTAAATGCCCACAAGAGGTCACTGTAGAGCCTAATCCCTTGCTAGGGTGGTGTTCTCTAAATGCCTAGAAGAGGGTGCTATTGAAACTAATCCCTTGCTAGGGTTCTGTTTTCAGACTAACAGTGCAAAAGTGTGTCATCAGGTTAACTCCATTCTGCTTATTTATTTACTTTTAAAAATATGTTTTTATAGATTTCAGAGAGAGAGAGAGAGAGAGAGAGAGAGAGAGAGAGAAACATCAGAAAGAGAGAATCATCAACCAGCTGCCTCCTGCCTCCTGCACCCCCCACCCCCTATTGGGAATAGAGCCCTGATGGGGAATTGAACCCTGACCTCCTGGTTTATAAGTCAATGCTCAACCACTGAGCTAGATGGGCCCGACAGGTTAACTCTCTTCTGTGTAGACCTTGGAGTAAATCTTCTGCTAGTCTTTTGCATAATTGTAGTTGTGAAACTTATTAAGAAAGAGGATAATGTAATTCTACACTACCTTTTAAAAGGAAATGTAATGACCTTCGCCAGTTTGGCGCAGTGGATAGAGCATTCACCTGGGGATGAAGGGTCCCAGGTTAGATTCCAGTCAAGGACACATGCCCTGGTTGTAGGCTCGATCCCAAGTAGAGGGTGTGCAGGAGACAGCCGATCAATGAATCTCTCTCTCATTGATGTTTCTAACTCTCTCTCCCTCTCCCTTCCTCTCTGAAATCAATGAAGATATATTTTTTTAAAAATATGTTCTGCATGAAGAAATGGAAGCTAGGGTAAAGCTGGGAATATGGTAACAAGGTAAGTCTTTCTTTTTGTTTTGCTGAAAGGTGGGTTATGGATTATCTCTTATTAAAAGCATTAAAGAAAAACAGGCTATAAAAACAGGCTATAAGGGCTTTAGGGCTAAGTGAAAAAGGTAGAATTATCTGAGTCATGAATTTATCCCAAGAAAAATGAGGATTCAATATTAAAGCCTAGAAAGTAATTTAAAATAAACGTAACACAGGATGACTGCTATCACTATTGCTCTAGAAATTTCTGGCTAATAAAGTACATCAAGAAATATAAATAAGAATCATAATTATTAGAAAGGAGATAAAGCTAAAGTTGCTTGAGGATAATATGACTAAGTCTCATGAAAACCCAAACAAGTCAACTGAAAAAGCAAAAATAAATTTTTACTGTATGCCAACGCTAATGGTTACATAGAAAATATAATGGCTTAAAAAGATTCATTCACCATAGACAGAACACACAACCCAAAGGTACAAAACACCTAGGAATAATCTTAAATGTGTGGGTACAAATGAAGAACACCACAGAAACTTGCTGTAAGGTACAGAAAAAAGTCTAAATGCTTTTATTCTCTTTTTTAAATTTGGCAAAATTGTCTCACAGGTGAACAAAAGTCAAGGGAGTTTTTGAAACTGGGAATGATTAGAGGCAACTTGCCTTACTCTACACTAAATGAAAAGATGCCTCATAATGTTTTTTAAATGGACTAGAACAAAAATCTAGTCAGATCAATGAAAAAAAAAATAGTCCTGAAACAGACTGTAATAGATGAAAGGATTTGTCAGGTTCTCAGATCATCAGGTTTGTGAACAGAAATTTACATGCAGGAACTTTCGTTTCATTCAAAATTAGCTGCCTTATTCGAACTTACTCAGCAGCATAAGTCACTATTAGTAAATAGCTAAATCCAAGCCACTGGTGCTACCAGCAAGAAAGAGACCGTGAGACGTCTGAGTGAGAAACAGCTCAGTGGCAAATCAATGCTCGTCATTTAGAATGTTTGCTCCCTTCCTTTCCGGGGATCTTATTTGAAACCACCACTGGTCCCTCTCTTTGTAAACGCCATCCTGATGGGCGTGGCCTGTCTACTCTGATGATGTTTCATTATCCCTCCAGTGTCACTGCTCTGATGGATGACAGCCTCTCTTTTGGTGCAACCTCGAGCCCAGCAAGTGAATGTGTTTGACTTCATGTAGCGTACATTTTGAGTCCTACGTACCAAGAATAATCTTGAAATATGGTTAAAATCCTTCCAGATACTTTCATGAACTTCAATAGCAGGTAACAGGCAGAAACTAATTTAGTTTCTATTTTTTTAATAAAAGGAATTTTAAAAAAACCTATGTGGTCAATAAAAGGGAAATAGTTAAAAGATATCATTGTACATTCATACAGTGAAATATATAATCACTCAAAAATGATGTTTTTAAGAATTTTAAATAATATAGTTATTTCAGGAAGTGAGCTATAAGTGATATTTTTCTTCCTATGTTGCTTTATGATATTTTTTCTTCATTTTGCAAATTTCCTACAAGTATGAGAATTAGGAATACCTATATTCAAAAGATGAAAATGGAGATATTTAAAAATTATAATACAAACAGTAAAAAAATAAACGTAAAAAATAATTTGAATATATATAAATAAGGATTTGTGGTAAAAAGCAAAGTATATATAAATAATTATTTAATAAATAACATTTATGTGATTTGTAATCAGCTAAAATTAATTAATTTTACCAAAAAACAACAACAAAGTACATATAACAAGCAAAGCTATATAAATAATTATTTAAAGATAACATTTATGTGTAATTTTACCAAAAAACAACAATAACACCAACACAACCATACATATTCAAGCAAATATATGACAAAGTACTCTAATTTGCATTTCCAATGCAGCCTATGGTTTCTACCACTGAATATCTGAGTAGAGGACCACTTTCAATTCCATGGTGGTACCTGAAAAAACAGGAAAAGTTTTTTTAAATGTAGTACCTTACATTCTGGACTTGCAAAGCTTCATATGTATGGTAAGAATGGCTAAGATCATATGTACTACATCCCAAGTAGGAAGCAAGATATAATCATCCTGTCTCATTATACATTCTTTAAATCAAGTAACTGACTTCAAGACCATGCAGTTGGTGCATGTAGTTGGTTACGCTGTGTTCATAAATATCACCACCAGCTGTTTTGCAAAACAGTAAGGTATTGTAATTCTATGGATTTGATTCTAAAAATAATTGACACCTAGATGAATCTTTTTGGAAAATTTTACCAAATAGAATCATCTTCAACGCTCTTCTGAACCAGGGATAGAAAAATGCATAAATCATTGGATTAAAAGTAGAGTTCAAGTAGCCAAACCAAATCAATGCATCATTCAAGGGGGGTGGGATAGTATAGTCCAGGAAAGGGTCCATGACTGTGCAGACAAAGAAAGGGCACCAGCATGTGAGGAAAACCCCCATCACAATCCCTAAAGTCTTTGCAGCTTTTCGTTCTTTGTTCCGTGAAATTCCATTTTTCTCTTCCAATCCAATTTGAAGCTGCTGATTTGCATTGTTAATCGATCTTGCCTGCCCTTTAGCTATGAAATATATTCTATAATAGACATACAACATAATAGATCCAGGTATATAGAAAGAAGTCATAAAGGCCAGAACCCCGGGTGTTTTGCTAAAGAAGACAGAACAGCCCCCTGAACCATGAGCGTGTTTGTAATACATCTGTTCAGCGCCTTTGAAGTTTAGCCCCAGAAAGATCATTCCAAATGCAAAAAGAGCAGGGATGCTCCAGCTGATGGTGATCATCACAAAAATAACCAAGATACTGATCTTGGCTTTGTATCTCAACGGGTCACACACAGCATAGTATCGGTCAATGGAAATGAAGGACAAGTGGAAAATGGATGCTGAGCTGAGCATGATATCGGTGCTGGTGTGAATCTTACAGAAGACTTCTCCAAACGGCCAGCAGTGCTCAACAGACCTCACCATGCTGTAAGGCATGACCAGGCACCCCAGCAGGAAGTCCACAGTGGCCATGGAATGAATGAGCCAATTAGTTGGGGTATGAAGTTGCTTGAAGTGTGAGATGGAAATAATAACTATCAGATTGCCAGCCACTGTGGTCAGAATGATGAGCACCATTAAACTATATAGGGAAGCACGGACATCATTTGACCAGCTGCTGTTCACACAGGAAATATTAACTACATTATGGCAAAAGGACATCGTTCCTGAAGGCTAGCCACTAGTTTATTTTTTCCTCTGTGTGTTGAATCTTCCTTAGAAATCCACAGTCAGGTTACAGTTCCATCTTTTATTCCCATATATCTATCCCAAAAACCTGGAGGGGGAAAAAAAAGAGAGTGAATCATTGGTAATTTGATTTCTCTTACTTCTAACACGTTTACCTATTACTTCTTGCTGAAAAATAATTATTTGGAAAGAGCCTTTATTTCGAAATTTTGTTCAATAGTTGAGTTTAATAATTTTTTAACATCTACTTGATGTCAGATACTGTGCTAGAAATGAAAAGGTGAATTATTAGGTTGAAATATATAAAACTGCCACTTTTATAAGTCAGAGACCAAATGATGAATTTTTCATATGCTTTAATCTATGGGAGTTTTGTAAGGGAAGCTCATATTCTAAAAGGTAGATACAAATTGCCCAAAAGCTTAGAATTGAAATGCCTTAGTAAAAAAAAAAAAAAAAAGTGAAATATTTTAAATGTGTCTCTTATACAGAAGTAATATCCACTAATGCCTGTTTTTGCACTTGATCACATTTAAAATTTTTATTTTATTTTATAATTGATTATAGTGGAAAGAAATATATATACCTTTACTTCCACTTTGCAAAGCACTTTCACATATATTCCATGCATTATTTCGTTTAACATTTTGACATCGATAATAGCAACATGATTCTTTATAAGGAAGACATGACAATTTCATTAGCAAGAAATTGAGGCTCAGTTCATAAAACCATCAAAGCTGGAACATGACCTGATGTCTCGATTACTAGTACAGTTTCTTTTTTACTAACCCAGGGGTTTTTTTGTGTGTGTTTTTTAACTGCAGAAAAAATCAACTCAGATAAACTATTTTCAAGAGCATTAAGCTTTGAACTTTCATATAAGAATGCAGAATGTGTTGAGTAATGGCACCAACTGAAGTGTCGTTGTGGCCCAAATTATTAGGATTTTAAATGTGCGCCAAAGTGTGTGGTAAGCAGGCAGTGCACAGAGAAAAGAGCTCTGAGATAGAACCCAGGGAGCCCGAGCTTCAGTGTGGGCTGTGGGCCTGGTGCTGGAGCTCGTTTGTCTTTTTTAAGCTCTAAAATCCATTACAATTTTTTCTCATACAACCTCAATTCATAAAACAGATAAAAGTAAACTTTTAAAAACAGAGATGCATCTTTCTACTAGCCTCCTCCTCATGCCTCACCGAAGAACCTCAAAGCTTCATGGGACCCAGTTTAAAAATGTCCCTTTTGTTACTATATGATTCTGTAATTATCAGCTAAATTATGAAATTTGCAGTATATTTTACAATATATAGGTAGTATAATAGATATATATTATATAATAGAGATAGATAGATGATAGATAGATAGATAGATAGATAGATAGATAGATAGATAGATAGATAGCAGTTTGGAGAAAGAATCTAAATTTATGGCAATCAATGAACAACCTGACACTATATTGTGAAACTGCTAAAAAATAAAACAAGCCTTAGAATTCCAGGAGTTTGCCTTCCTTTTCATCTCTTCCCATTCGCTCTGGGCCGACAGTACAGATCAAGGCCACATAGAAATCTAAATTTATCCAAAACTAAAACTGGATGAATAGAATATTTAGGAAGTAAAATGCATATTTTAATAAATTTAAAACACCTATTCCCAAACCCCTTTTCTACCTTCTGTTCCCAGGAGGAAACATATTCATACGAAATGAATCGTAAGATTTATTTCAATAGCTACCCAGGCCCAGCTGGCATGGGTCAGTGGTTGAGCATCAACCTATGAACCAGGAGGTCCTGGTTCGATTCCCTGTCAGGGCACATGCCCAGGTTGTGGGCTTGATCCCCCATACGAGTTGTGCAGGAGGCAGCCAGTCAATGACTCTTATCACTGATATTTCTACTTCTCTCCCCCTCTCCCTTCCTCTCTGATGTCAATAAAAATATATTTAAAAAAGAATAGACACCCAGACCCATTTCATGAAAGAACAAACAGTAGACTAAAACTAGGTTATTGAACTAAGCAACATTTTAATTATAATTAAAATTTACCAAAAGAGTGCTTTTTTCACTATGAAGTTTAAGTATGCACTCAACTAAACTCTATTGGTTAAGTTACTAATCTTCTACTTAGACTTTTTTTTTCTATTTCCTCCTTTTCCTTCTTTCTTTTACTTATTGACATATTAAAGGAACAAAGCAGCACACCCTAATAACTATTTACAAGTGTTGCTAATTAATAACTGTCAGTTAAACAATCATTCCTACCTGATGTCATCTTGAGTAGGTTCACTCAGTCAAGAGAAACTAGGGTCTAAAAAACAGTAAGAGAAAGTGGGGAGCGGGGGGAAGCGTGTTCAGTTTTGGAAGAGTAAATTCATAGAAGATGAAAAAGTCATTTGCCAATTCTGTATGCCTTGTTCTTTGTGCATCTCAGATGTTAGGTTTCCAGATAAAAACTAAACAACTCAGAGGCTTCCTCACTCATATTTTTACAACCTGATTTCAGAGAAATAAAGCCTTAGGCATAGTATCTTGGAAATGGTTAATATTAATGACATTTCAATAGAATATTTTTTTCGGCCCAATTTAAGAATATTACACATCATTTTTGTGTGAGTTTTTAAAAGTGTTATAATTTGTTTTTAGATGTACTTGTTTAAATAAATGTTCTATGATGATATCATGACTTGAATGGTTACCTAAGAACATGACATAACAGTGGTTTTGTTTATTTTCTTTCAACTTTAAACATTTAGATAGCTAGAAATGATTGTTATCTGTATATACAAATTATCCAAGTTGAACATACAATAGTAAGATGGAAAGTTAATAAATCTCTCGTTAATTATCTAGCTAAGCAAACACTTCTGTGCAAATGATCTAATCACCTGATGTTTGAAAATGACGTGTGAATTAAAAATATATTGGCAGGAGTTATCGTTTTCAATAGCTCTGTCTAGCAGGACAGGAACTCGCTGGTAGAGTGCTCACAACGTCCCAATGAAGGGCCATCCACACTAATCCCACCATTCCCTTTGTGTCTGACTTCATCAAACATCCATGTCTAATTGCTCAGTCTCTCATTTCCATACCATTGTATACAATGACTGAGCCCATCTCTTAATGTACCATTACTCACAAAGCCTTTCCAAGTGTGCCCTTTGGAGCTCATGGTCATCACTCTACTTCCTCATCTCTTTTCTCTATTCTTTCCTCACTTGGTTCTAACGACACTTGTGTCTCCTCTGATAACACTTCATTCTTTGTGCTCTGCCAAATACTTTATCCCCTGTGCTCTGCCAAAGGTAACAGATTTATCTCCTGCATCGCTAGAACCCCTTTACACTCTAGGGCCTGGAGGAAGAGTAAGTGTCCTCTGGTTCTCATTGTCATTGCAGATCATTGTTCCTCCTGCCTTTCTAAACTCCACCATCTGCAAGCTTTGAAGTTCTGTATTCAAACTATATCTCCTCCTGCTATAGACATCTATGGATTCCCACATCATTTCTCTTTATTTCTTGGAGATGTTAGCTTCTGAACACCTGTCACTTTCTCCAAGGCTACCCTTGACAAATTCTTAATGATTTTTTTTTTTTGTCCACGTAAATGATCCAATAATAAGGTAGCCAAGGAAGACTAAAAGAAGATGACTTTGAATTTGACCTAAAGAAAGTGAGGAGCTAACCACGTGGGCATCTGGAGGAAGTGCCATCCAGCTAGAGCAGGGGTTCCCAACGTGGGGCACACGCTCCACAGGGGGACAATTTGATTTTTAAGGGGGGCAATTCCAGAATGAGTTATTAACAGTGAATTTTTTGCATTTCTTATGGTTCTACGGGCCTCATATACAGTATATAAGTATATATTGTGACATATTCATGTATTTCATTTCTCTATTATATGTTTTGAAACTTTGCTTTTTTCATATTATTGTTATTATTTCAAACAATTTCTTAGTGATTTCTTCCTCAGTACTTCAACTGTCCTTTCATTCTTTTATTTTCTCTTTCATGGATGCCATGTTTTTGGGAGCTTGTTTAGACCAAGTTAATAGCCTTTTAGGCTTCCTTCATGTGAATAGTTCACTTTTTGAATAATAAGAATCATATGTCACAGGGAGTGGGCATCAGGATTTGAGAGATGTTTAGGTGGGGCATGGCCAAAAAAAAGGTTGGGAACCACTGAGCTAGAGGGTACAGAGAGCACCGGTTCTGAAGTGGGATCATGCCTAGTGTGTTTGCAAAATAGCACAGTTAGTGTGGTTGGAGCAAAGCGAGCAACACAGAGAAAAATACATGGGGACGCCAGAGACACTGCACAAGGCTGCACTGAATAGGGCCTTAGAAGCCACAGTAAGAATTTTAGTTTTGCCTTTGTGTGAAAAGGGAAGGTACCAAAGCTCTTTGAATCCAGCCACATGATCTGACCCATTCTAATGGATTCATTGTGTCTGCTGTGTTGAGAACAGAGGCTGAAGGCAAGGACAAAAGTGAAGTGAAGATGAGGAAGCCAAGGCCTAGGGGTGAAGATGGTGGTTTGGGCCAGGGCAGCAGCTGTGACCGTGGCCCGTGGCGGTCAAGGTGGGATATGTTCTGATATACAGCAGGCAGGATTTTGACGATAGATTGAATGTGGGTTGGCAGAAAGTTGTCAAGGGAAATAGCAAGGCTTTTGGTTTGAACAGTTTGTACGGTGGCGGTCCCATTTACTGAGATGAGAGAGATGGTGGTTGGAGAAGGACAAGAAGAAGGAGGAAGTCAGGAGTTCAGTTTTGAACTTGGGAGGTTGGAGCTGTGTGCTGAACAGTATGGCCTTCTGTGCCCAGCTGCCTCGTTCAAGTCTGGGCTTGGCCATTCACTAATTCTGCAGCCTTGGACATGCTGCCCAACCTCTTGAAGCTGTAGTTTTCTCATGTAGAAAAATAATCTATTTCCTGGGCTTTTCTGAGGCTGGAATAAGTTAATATTTGTAAAATAGCACCTTATATGTGTGTTAATCAAATAAGTAAACATCCATTGGGAATGTTAAGGGCATATTAAAGGAATGTATAAGAAACATCACAAAGCTTTTTTAAGAATACACACATGTTTAAATTAATATAAAAAGATGCGTTCTTGAGTGTCACTATAGGCAGAGGGAAAGGAGAGGAGAAAGGGGAACAAGGAAAAAAACAATACGATAAAAATTAAACAGAGGTAGTAAGTTATAAGAAAATGAACTGTCTTTTATTCACTGCTATAGCCCCAGGGCCTGGAAAATGTCTAGAACATTCAAAACTGAATAAAAGATGGATTGAATGAACAAATGAACTGAGGAATTCATTAGCTCATTTCTGTTCTCCTTGGGATCAATAAAAATTTGGGTACATACACTTTGCCTGGCTCTAAATTCCAAAGATAAAGGATAAATCCTCATAGGCATCTGGATATAAATTCCTTGATTGTGGTGGTGGTGGTGGTGTTTGCATAGGTCCAACTCATCACATTGTACACATTAAATGCAGGCAGTTCTTTGCATATCAATTATGCCTCAATAAGGCAGTTTAAAAAGTAAAAAGGAAAGAGGGTCAGGTTAGCATAGGACTTTGCATCTGTAATCATGGAAGCCAGGGGCCTCTAAGGAGCTTAGAAACAATTAAGGAAATTGTATGGCAATTCAACAATCCTACATTTAGCCAAACAGTAACCAAATGAAGGTAAAAGAAAGACAACAAATATATATTAATGACCATCTTCTGAGAAACGCTAGGAAATACTCTAACAATAAAAAAGAATCAAACCAAAGTTTTTTAGATAGCAAGAGGTGAATAAAAGGAACATTAGTGAATTAAAATTTTAGTTTAAATTAAAAAATGATTATAATAATATGACACGATGCAATGCTTGTTAAATAAGGATTTTTGAAATAAAAATAATGCATTTTTGACAAAACACTAAATTTTAACCTGGAATTTAAATTCTCAGCTATCTCACTAAATCCCAGTTGTTAACAGGGTTGGTGAGGGGCTTATGAGTTCAACTTCCCAACTAGATCACATGATGCCTAGCAAAAATTTAATTTTGTAAAGTTCTCTAGCAACACACAAACACACATACACACCTAGAAAATAGGTATGGAATGGCATACTCCAAATTCTCAATATTGTTTACTCAGAGATGCTGAGATTAAAACAAAAAATTACAACAAAGATGATATCAAAATTTTGCAATAATTTTTCCTGGGTGGTGAAATAATGTGTGAGTTTTGCTTTCTTCTCTATCATTTCTACATATTCCACATTTTCTACTATGAGAATGTTTCACTTCCATAATCAGAAAAAATATATTTAATAAAATCAATTGTATTGTATATGAATTAAGTTTCAAGTGAAACTTTTAAAAAGTATTGTTAAATAATTATTAATATACTTATATTATTTGTGCTTCTTTTGCTTATATAATTCTTTCTATGAGTTACTTTTACCTATATATTAAAATCATACTTTTGCTAAATTTCTGAGCTAAACCCACACAAATTTGTTCTACCCTATAAATTTGGAAACAAATTAGGACTTGATAATAATTTTATTCCTAAAATATGTTTGTAGCTCTGAAATTTATCCAATAATTTTTATTAAAATGCTAAGCATATTTTTGAAAAATACTTATTTTAAGAGAAAGAAAGAGACAAGAAGCAGGGAAAACAGAATTTCCAAATGTTTAGGTCATGATTCTCGGGGTAAGACATCACTGGAAGCAAACTGCTTCCATCCTGAAGAAACAGGAAACGTGGTAAAATCCATGTGTTTGCTTATTCATCACCATAGTCCCATAGATAAGAGGGAAAACAATCTACAGCAGTATTGAGGTCAATAGACTACACCTGAACGTGTTTCTGCTATGTGTACATGTATAAGATAATACGTATCAGATTTCAATAATCGTAACTGAAAGATTCTTAAGTTAATTCATCTAATAGGTGGCATGTATAGACACACGCACACTAACGTGTGAAGTCATTCAGAAATGTGCCAAGATTATTACCAAATAATAGTTGTGCAAACCAGATTTTAGTTTTGCAATTTAGTATATAGTAACAACACGATACATTTTAATTTCAAAACCTACAAAAATCTCTAGGAAGACTCCTTTTATTATGCTAAAACTAGCCAAGTACACAACATGGAATTTCCTTTTTAATGTACAAGAAAAGGAGGTTTTAAAAATCATATTTCAAAAGGGGACATCTGCAATACTTTTAACAATAAAGATAATTTTTTTTAAAAAAATCATATTTCAGCTTACCAAATTTCCCAACTTTCCATAGGTAAAGTTTCCATAAAAGTCTGACATCTTAGAAAGCATGTGTAAAGCAAGCTATTTAAAATATTTAACTATTTTTTAGCTTCTCTTACTAAAGCAGGTATTAACTAACTAAACTTAAAGAACCTTTGTTAGTCTTTGCATTAAATAATCCTAAAATTAATATATGAATAAGTACCAAACCGTTGATAAGTCTCATTCTCCCTGTCTTTGCAGTTTGCGTGGCTGTCAGGTGAGTGCATTCAGACCTACCTGCTCAGGTGAGTGAACAGAGCAAGCGGATGAGCCGACAGCAGAAACGCTGCCTTTGGGAGGAGGCCGCACAGCTGCTGCTGGCCGGAGCCACTGCTGCTCTAAGATAGGCCACAGCGAACAGACAGCATGACGCAAACATTGAAATCTGAAAAAGATAAGCTGATAATAAATCTTTCTGACACAAGGTAACAGTATTATTGAGAAACATACCTGGAAGGTGCTTTTATTCTAAACCAGCATCAGGAAGCTCGCAGTGAGCAAGCTAAATGGAGAAGGTCAATACTTTAAAAATAATCTCAAGCATGGGCCACCGGTCACCACAGTCATGGGTGTTAACAGCATATAAATGGACGCACCTGTCCATTAAAACTGCCTTAATTGCTGATGGATTTGAAAAGAAACTGCTCCTGTATTAGACACTGGTACAAAGGAAGCAACTAGCACTAGAAAAATTGTTCATTTTTCAAATCAGATGACTTGTACCATTTCTAAAAAGGAGCATGTCCTAGGTTCAATGACATCTTATAGTTAGAAACTAATTTAAAACAGTGGCTTTCAAACTTTTTTTAACCACTAGGAAGAAATGCCTTTTATGATATGACTCAATACACATGTAGGTGCGCATCTGTAACAGGAGCAAATGTTTTCATTTAAAAATACCCTTACCTCATTCAATTAATTCACTCTGATATTTGCTATTTTTCATTAATGGGATTCACACCCCATAATGTTACTAAACACAATTAGGAAAGTACTGCCTTAGAGGTTATATGCTCACACATATTTAGTCCATCCTCTTTTTAATTCCTATATATAAAACTTTCAAAATGACCATCTTATACATGGAGCCAGGGCCTTCAATATAGCAAAATGGATAGCTGAACAAGTGCAGTTTCTGCTCTATTTCTATCTGTTTCTCATACTGACACAGGAAATCATAAGGTCATTATGATAGATTGATTTTTGGTTTCAATTCTTCACGCTCCTAGCATCTTTACCTTTGTCTTTGCTTCATTGGGAGTGGGAGGTATTTCCCTGTTCTTTGAACCTGAGCCTTGCCATTTGACTTGTTTTGGCCAAAAGAATGTAGACAGAAAAAAAGGGGTGTCAGTTCCAAGCCTAGGCATTAGGAGAACTCACATGTTTATGAATGTCGTCTGTGCCATCCTTGTCCATGGAGGTTGAGAGGCATGTGAAACAGTCCAGGGCATACAGATACACAGTACATGGTGAAGCTATGTTAGCTGCCTCTACAGATTCATGAGCAGAAGTTGCTGTTATTCTAAGCTACCGAGTTTTGGCAATAACTACCTGGATTAACTGTATTTCTGAAAGAAACCCTTGATATCTATTACCCTGTTTTCCTGCTTTGTTGTAACACTGCCACAAGGAAAATGCTGATACCACATAACAGGTCACCTATGGTCTAAATAGCCATTAAAGCCCAGCCAGTGTGGCTCAGTGGATGATTCTCTCTCATCATTGATGTTTCTATCCCTCTCTCCCTCTCCCTTCCTCTCTCTGAAAAAAAATATTTTAAAAAGAAAAATAAATGGCCATTAACAAAAGTTGCAATAGCAAAAACAAAACAAAAAAGGCATAAAATAAAAAGTACACTTTATTAAATGAAGCTGACCTTTTTCTGGGTGAATATAACTCCTGCTTCAGAAATTGCTGGATGTTAAGGTTGGTTCTAAAAATAACTCCCAAGTTCACTTCTTAACAGTACATAGAAAATATCATTCATCTTTCTAAAAATGAGTTTCCTGTGTGCCTGAATCATATAAGTACTTTTTTATTAAAAATGTTTAATGTTGACACTACTGTAGGTATCCTCCCATTTTCTCCCCTCCCCTTCCCTTGGGCATCACCACACAACTGCCTGGGTCCGTGGGGTATGTATATATATTCTTTTTTAAAAAATATATATTTTATCGATTTTTTACAGAGAGGAAGGGAGAGGGATAGAGTTAGAAACATCGATCAGCTGCCTCCTGCACACTCCCCACTGGGGATGTGCCTGCAACCAAGGTACATGCCCTTGACTGGAATCGAACCTGGGACCCTTGAGTCCGCAGGCTGATGCTCTATCCACTGAGCCAAACTGGTTAGGGCTGTATATATATTCTTTAGCGAATCCCTTCACTTTCTTTATCTAGTCACCCTCTTCTTCCTCTCCTCGGGTACCTGCCAATCTGGTCTGTGTTTCTGTGCTTCTGATTCCATTTTGTTGGTCACTTTATTTTGTTCATTAGATTCCACAAATACTTTTCATTTTGTGAATGAGTTTTCTTTGCAAGCAAGCATAATGCCTCATGTATGAGAGTTCTAGAAAATCAGAGTCCTTATCAGCTTTGTTCATTACTGTCTCACTATCACCGAAAATAGTGTCTGAAAACCATAAATACTCAATACATATTTGTTGATTGAATAATGTTGAATTATTGATTAAATTAATTGCTCATTTTTTAAAGCTATATATGTGTGTGTGTGTGTGTGTGTGTATTTATTGATTTATTTCAGAGAGGAAGGGAGAGGGAAAAGGAGATAGAAACATCAATGATGAGAGAGAATCATTGATTGGCTGCCTCCTGCATACCCCCTACTGGGAATCAAGCCTGCAACCCAGGTATGTGCCCTTGACTGGAATCGAACCTGTGACCTTTCAGTCCTTAGGCCAGCGCTCTATCCACTAAGCCAAACCTAAAAACCTAGGGCTAAACCTTTTTAAATCAAAGTATTACATTGATATGGAATTTTCATAATTCCATTTGTGTAGTTACAAACAAACCTACAGTGCAAGTCAATTTTCCTTTCTCTTTATGAAGTCATTTTTTTTAACCTGAAAATTTATTTAACCAAGTGAATTTAGGATAAACTGTATGTGACAAATGGTGTTGTCAGTCTTCTTACTTTAGGACTATTGTTTATCTTGAGAACACATATATGTATGAGTCAGTGTTCCACAGGAAAAACAGAACCATTACAAACCTACAGTGCAAGTCAATTTTCCTTTCTCTTTATGAAGTCATTTTTTTTAACCTGAAAATTTATTTAACCAAGTGAATTTAGGATAAACTGTATGTGACAAATGGTGTTGTCAGTCTTCTTACTTTAGGACTATTGTTTATCTTGAGAACACATATATGTATGAGTCAGTGTTCCACAGGAAAAACAGAACCCACAGGTTGTATATAGACACAGGAAGAGATTTACCAGAGCAGAAATGACTCATGTGGTTATGGAGGTTGACAAGTCTCAGCACGTGCAGGGTGAGCTAGGTCTCCAGGAAGCCAATGGCATAGTTCCAGTCCAAAGGACAGCAGATTCGGGACCCAAGAAGAGCCAATGTGTCAGATTGAATCCAAAGGCAGAACAAAGTCAATGTTCCAGTTCAAGAGCAGTCCGGCAGAAAGAATTCTCTCTTACTCAGGGATGGCTGGGGTTTGTTCTGTTCAGTCCCTCAACAGATTGGATGAGGCCCACCCATATTAGTGAGGGCAATCTGCTTTATTCAGTCTATGAGGTTCAGTGTTCATCTCAACCAAAAATATTCTCACAGAAACCCCCAAAATAATGTTTGACCAAAACATTTGACTACCACATGGCTCAGTCAAGTTGACACATAAAACTAGCCATCACAATGTATGGAATGGGTTGCATCTGCTTGGTTATAGAAAACAGTGAGCTTTCTTTTTGTCTTTGCAATATCTTAGATTACCCGTGATGCATCACTTTCTGGTTCAATGCTTATTCAATAATAAAATTGTTTTCTTCTTTCTCTACCTTCTTTCTCTTTCTCCACTAGCCATCCCTGAGTGGAGTGGTTTTCTGGGTTGGGAGGAGATTTTGTTTTTATTTATATTCCCCAACCAGAAGCATCTGTTAGTATGATTAGAATAACTGTGAAAGAACTTGTCAGCCACTGGGACGGACCAGTGGGAAAGTAAGAGTTAACACTATGGAGAGGTATTCATGGGGACACAGGCTCAGGGAGATTGAGGGTGATGGGATTAGAAATTTTCTCTGACATCTTTTCACCTCTCCTTTTTCTCAGATGCTCTCCCACTTCATTCCATTGTTGGAATACTGAGTAAATGGTTGTCAATGGCTCCAAGATTTCAATTACAAAATAAATATGACCACATCCAGAAATATTTGCCATTAAAAGAACTTTAGTAAATCAGGTGTTCAATACATTAAAAAATGTCTCGGCTTGTGAAATTTAAGGTAGGTGGGAAAAAGGTCTTGGCAAAAGGGATATTGGTTTAAGTCTCTGAAATCATGGCTTAGCCCCTGGCATTGTGTGCAACTGAGTCTTTCGTGACTTAGCATTTGCATATGGTCAGTTGGGCAGCACCATTCCTAGTGTGGAAAATGCTGATACAACTGTCATGGCCTCCTGAAAGGCACTCCTAAAAGGATAAATTATTTTATTCTCCTCCTTAAATGATTTTTAGCAAATAGAACTATATGTATTATTTTGATTTCCCAAACAAGCTTATGTCATGAAGCTATAGCTGTTCTGAAACGAATATCCAACTAGCTGAGTAATAAGCAATCAGTCACTTATGGAGCACCTCCAGTATCCCAGACCCTATGCTGTGCTGTCACATTTAATCTTCATGCCAACCCTGAGACTGTGGAAACATAGATTGATGCTCAAGGCAAGTAGCAAAGCCAGGAATCAAAGTCAGGCCTACCACTGAGGTTCCATCTCTCTGTTCTGCCATTTTATTTCTCCTGTTGTGTAAACTAGACTCACTCTGGTCTATAAACTGTCTCTGGCGAGTTTAGTTAAAGTGGCTCATGATTAGCAGAGTATATTAGTACAGAACATGACAATGATGCCTTTTATTGTCAGCTTTGCAAAAGACAAGAAGCTGTCCATGGGCCTGGAATATTTATTTCTTATTGAACTTGAATCTCTGACCTAGGTACTATATTTACATGGACATAGAGAGGGCAGCATTCTGCAAACTTTTGTAGGATGTGAGTTTCTTTCTGGATTCCTTCTTCCTCCTCCCAAGTGCCCTAGAATAGAAAGACCCAGTAAGAACTTCCCTCTCACTATTCCCCACCATGGGAGGGAGTAGCAGGGATCTGTAATAGTGGATCTTCCACAGTGTGCTACTCAGAGCTTGTCTTGCATCTTAGGAACTCTTGAAGACAGAACCTGAATTTACTGCTCAAGTAAGCCAGGTTACTGTCAATAATAATAATAAAGGAGAATAATAAGGAAGAAAAGGAGGTGAAAGAGGAAAGATGGAGGAAAAGAAGGAAGAGGGTCAAACGTGAAAGGAAGAGGAGTAAGAGGAGAACGAGGAAGAGAAGAGAGAACAGGGAAGAGGAACAACTTTTAATAAATCTGTAACCAGTCACTAGGCTGAAGGCAATACATAAAATCTCTAGTTTATTCACAGAAGGACTCTAAATAACAGATGCAATTTTCATCATTGCTTTACAAAGGAGAAAACTGAGAATTGGGTGTTAAGTTACTACTGAGGGCCAGCAGTAGAATTTGATTCTAGATTTGTCTGACCCTAGAGTTCCAAGCTTCTAATGACTAAAAAGAATTTTGGTGAAAAAAGTTAAAATGAATTGTGTTCCTTCTTTATAGCTTATTTCTGCCATAGACCCTCCAAACAGCTGGGTAGGAAAAAATGAGGTAACTACATTATTGAGAACTTGACTTAATATCTATCTATGCATAGTTGACCAAGGGAACATTATTAGTTACAAGCTAAGCAAATGAGATACATATTAACAGTAATTTAAAAACATTTAAAAATTAGTATTTGTAATTGTCTTAATCACTAAAAATATTATAGTATACTTTATCAACAATCTCCAAAGATAACTTTTATTTATTTATTTTTAAAATATATTTTTATTGACTTCAGAGAGGGAGAGGGAGATAGAAACATCAATGATGAGAAAGAACCATTGATCGGCTGCCTCCTGCACACTCCACACTGGGGATGGAGCCTGCAACCTGAGTGTGTGCCCTGGCTGGGAATCAAACCATGACCTCCTGGTTCATAGGTCAATGCTCAACCACTGAGCCACACCGGCTGGGCTGAAGATAAATTTTACATTCAGTTAAAATTAAATTATATATGTACTTAGGGAAATTTTCAGGCCATCAGATTTTATTTTCTCACTACAATGCTTTTATAATCCATCTCTACAGCTAAAACTGAATACACACAATGAAAGGCTTTTCAATTAATTTTCACTCATATTGTGATAGCAAATAAACCCTCAGTTAATTGTCTTTGATGGAGCAATATGAGATTTTGTCATAAAAGGAAAGAAAAAAATGAGCTGGTTCACAATCAATTTCAGTTAAATCAACATTGTAATCTGAAAAAACAGTATTTTGTGATACTCATATTTCCATAACTCAATTCAAAGTTTATCCATTCAACATGTCTACAAAGCACATTACCCAAACATTAACTATTTATCAGGTAATCTACCACCATACCAACAGGTGGGCCTTACTTGCTTTGGCAGGAGTTCAAAGTTTCTAGGTTTGGTGGCGAAATAGCTATTTACCCTGATAAGAGCTCTTGCTGTATTTCAGTGGCAGGACACCATATGGAACTGATTTCAAAATAGAAAGATTAAAAGAGCTTACTCTTCTGTGGACACATTTTCATTGATCCGTCTAAATTTATCTCCTAAGTCCGAAGTTTTCCCACTTTTTATGGTGACAGTCTTCTCCCAACGTCTCCAGGGAAATTTTTATTCTCTATGCCACATCAACAGATATGACCAACTAACTTCAATCTTTGTTCCAGAATGATATATATTTTAATATTGATCATTTACTTACACCTTAGCCCTCACCCTGCATTCTATCAAAGACTGTGACTATTAAAGCTACAATCTATATTAATAAAAGGCCTGTGGTCGTCACGCTGTAATGCCGTCACCATCAGACGAGCAATGGCTCTAGCGGTGGGCGGGGCAGAGCGCAAGCTACTAGCAGCAGAGAGATACTAGCGGAGGACAGCTACCAGTGGCAGAGGGCAGGGCGGCCAGCTGAGGCAAGCTGAAGCGAGCTTCTCACGCATGATTTCGTGCGCACTGGGCCTCTAGTATTGACTATAAGGAATGTGGCATATTGCTCTTACAAGGCAAGGATGCAATTAAAATCTGGCTTTAATCATCACTGAGGGACTCAATTGCTCTGAGCTCCACACTGGGGCAGCAGCTTGAAAGGTGCATACAGGGAAGAACTGAAGTGTCTGATACCAGGCGGAGAGCTGGGGTGCAGCGTTCAACCATACAGAAGTGCTACCAGAGGCCATTGTTCCTTTTCTGAGCCCTTTCCCCATAGAGCAGGCAGGCGGGTGCCATGTCTGAGTCGTCCCCATCAACCTGGCTATCACTGTTTGCCCTCCCCTGGTGATTCCCTGAGACCCTGCCTCTCCCAACTTGCAGGCCCACCCAAGACGCTTCCAGTGGCTTTTCTATACGAGTGGCCTGTCTTGGCTCATGCTTCAGACTTTACTAAAATCTCTCAAACAGCATCTGGCCTCGGCGAGCCCATACCTCTCACTCAGTGACCCCAGGCCTGACACAAGCACCAGCTGGCATTTGTTTGCAGCTTGCCTCTGCTAGGCACCTGCACTGGTAAGCCCAGCACAAGTAGCAGCCATCTGCAGATCACTTTGTAACTCATGCTGGGTAGCCCGAGGCAAGGCACAGATGCTGACCTCGGTCTGCACCTACTAGGAAGCTCCAGATCCAGCTCACCAAGTGGACCATGTTTCAGACCGTGTCGAAGCACCACCCAAACACCTCCACAAGTGACACACTCAAAAGGCAAACTCAGCAGATACCAGAGCCCCACTGAAGCAAGTCCTGCTCCCTGTGGTTGGTCCCTGCACAGCTGATCCTCCATGGTGGTCTCAGTCAGTTTTTGCAGCTGAGTGGCCTGGGGATAAATCCCTCCCATTAACATGCCAACAGTAATCAAGTCTCAACCACAATAGGAGAGTATACACAGCCCATGCAGGGAGGGGGCACCTGGAGGGCCCAGCTCAGGTGAATAGATGTCTTGGACTCTGACATCTACTACATTCGGCCACTTTACCAAGCTTGGGAGAGGAAGCAGGCCTGCATAATACATAAAAACAAACACAGGGAGGCTGCCAAAATGAGGAGAAAGAGAAACATGTCGCAAATGAAAGAACAGAGCAAGACATTAAAAACCTATTTGAAAAAATAATGACAGAAAACTTTCCTAAACTGGTGAAGAAAATAAACATACAAGCCCAGAAAGTGCAGAGTCCCAAACAAGACAAATCATGATTAAAATGCAAAAGATTAAAGACAAAGAGAGAATCTTTTTTCATAAAGTGATGCATTTATTTTATTCGGCGAAACCCAGGGATTATAGGCAAACTATTTTATGTAAATTCATCAACCTAAATAAAATTCTAGACAAATTTAAAAATAAAATCTTGAAAGAAGAAAAAAAAAATACACACACCTAAAATTACAATATTAGCCCTGACCGGTTTGGCTCAGTGGATAGAGCGTCGGCCTGTGGACTGAGAGGCCCCAGGTTCGATTCGGGTCAAGGGCATGTGCCTTGGTTGCGGGAGGTGTGCAGGAGGCAGCTGATCAATGTTTCTCTCTCATCAATGTTTCTAACTCTCTATCCCTCTCCCTTCCTCTCTGTAAAAAATCAATAAAATATATTTAAAAATTACAATATTAAGTAAAGAGCCAAGTGATTTGCAGATCTAGTGTTGCTCTATACAATTACTAGTCACCTAGGGGAGGTGGGCGGGCGCCATTTTCCATTTCCGCCACTGGTACACAGTTCTCCACTTGCTGAATTGCCCAGTTTTTCATACAGGGTCTCTTCCTTCAGTCTTTTGTATTTTGATTGTTATGTAAAACTTGCTTTTATTTTAATATTGAGATCAGGATTTCAACTGCTATAAAATTATAAACTTTTATACTTCTATCAGTCCCTGAGGAGCTAGTTCCCTTTGCTCACGGGTGCAGGCATGCTTCCCACTGGCAGAGCTACACGTACCCTCCAGCTGGCTGTCTGAAAAAGAAACCAGCCTGTCCCCTTCCCTCACACCTCTGTCCTTCTCTCCACAGAACCTGTATTGTGTTGCTGTGATCCTCAGATCCAAAGTCAACCAGCCTCTTGTTTCCACATCACTTCCTTTGTGTTTATATGGC